CCGCTGTAAATCAACTTCCTGCACCAAATGTTCCGGATCCAAAATTCTCTCTTTACTATTCTACAAAAAAAGATGGATTAACTTTATCAATCGTAATCATAATAAAAGAGAAACAATTTTAAAGTAGAACTCACTGGCTCCAGTGCGTCTGACACAAATTCAGCAATCTGCTGCGCACGCATTACTTGCTTAGTATCCATGCACAACATTTTGCCAACGGAAGTTTTTGCACGACAAGCAAGTATTTTCCGTACAGTCATTGTTGACACTATAAATGGTTACTTCACATTGCTGTTCTATAAAAATATTGATCAATGCATACTATTAACTTAAATTGAAACGAATTAACGATTAAATAACTTTACCAAGGCGTAATGTTTGCCGTAATATGCCACCACTCGGCATATTTTTTTCCTGTTCAAGATCACTGAAACTTATTCCAGACGCAAAGATAAAAACATCAGCCAGAATGATGAAACGTGTCAGCAAACGAGCGGCACTGCCTACAGCCAATGCTTGATTTGTCGAATCCATTATTTCTAGTTCGCTCTAAAAGATATTAACAATGTGACTAACATCAACAAGTTAATTTTGAGAATTAAGCCTTAACAATTTACACTAGGAGACGTAGCAGCAGCCAGAAGAGGAAGAAGTCCACCACAGGCCATTACCAACAAATCGATCAGTTGGGATAAGACATGAACACAATTAGCAACAAATATACTATTTTCACTGTTATTCACAACATCCAGTATTGCTGCTGTGCCCCTGCAAATATTTTAAGTTTTCCAAAAATACTACGGGCATTGCATTCTAATAGGTGATAGAAAATTTTCATTCAGAATTCATACTTCTTCCACTCTTCCACAGTATTTTCGATTGAAACAAGCAGATCATTAAGCAATCTTAAATGCACATCCGACCAGCAAAACTCCGGAGTGCGGTAGATAGAACTTGGCTGATTAGCTGATATCTTCGATTCATGATTCCTTTCCACTTCATCCACAAGTCCATCCTTAAAAAATGTTTGCGATTAAATAGAACTTTTTCGTATGCTTAGGACAATGAACATTCATATACTTACTACCGTGCGAGCCACAGATAAAACAAGATTTTGGACTAAATAGAATATAACGTCCGTTTCGCGCTCACCACCTCTATGAAATTTTGCCTGGTGACGTTCCCATGATACCTGCAAAATCATTTCAGGAACCAAAATCAAATATGTCTGAAGATAATCAAATCATTTCTACTTTCAGCTAGATTATCCTGTTCTTGCAGCTATGAATTTTTGAAAATCACATATATTGCTTAATTTATATTGATTGAATCAGGTTTCTTCCTTACTTCTTCATCATGAAGGCCGAAATCACATTACCACATATTATTCTCATCTAACATTTATCAATATGTAAATGTCGTATTAATAAACAAAGCTTTAGGTTTCTATCGAATGACTATTACTACTCTATAACAAGTTTAATTATTCTGCGTATATTTTATTTGTAAATGCATCCTTTCCGTTCCCTCTCTATTACTTCAAAAATTCAAAGGCAAATGTTCAAATATGTACCTTTGAGTGAGCAATAGCGAGGGTATCGACCCACACTCTCCAACCACCATATTCTAAATAAATAGCATGGAAGAGAAGCTGTGCAAAGATGCGATAAACGAGTTCACTAATTGCTACTTCAGCTTCATTTTTCGGAAAAATGTAAGCCAATGAAATAAGCCATTCTTGCCATACACTCATTTGCAAAATCGTACGTCGATTATCTCGAGAGTTTTCGCACATATGAAGTAGATCTTCCAAGAAAATTCGCTTCACCTAGAATACGACAGAATTAAAAAAAAAACTTCATAAAATCTTCAAACAATGTTACGGACTCTATCAAGATTTAGCTTAAACAATGTTAATCAAAAAAAAAAAAAGGAACTCACCTTCATTAATTCCAAATTATTTTCACTTTGTGTTATCAGATTGGCAATAACTTTTAACATTGCAGGATTTTCAAATCTCATTACATCGCTGATCGATACATGAATCAAATAATTTATCGTTGGTGTCATTTGCTCAGTAAGTATTTCAAATAGCACATTATATGTTGCCAAAGTAAGATGACTCGCATTCAATAACAGCCGATCGGTTATAAGGGATAATAAATTAAGATTGCTTACTGAATCTGTTTTTCGCCTGAAATATTTACAAGCATGAGTAATATCACCTTATTATATCGATTCTAAATCAAGTAAAAGAAAGGCACTAACCGTGATTAGTACTTACAGCAATGGTTTCACGAAGGCAAAGCAATTTTAGTAAATTCATATTCGCCTTTAATACTTAATAGGTGAACATGGCGGTATCACTGTCCTTCATTCTTTTTTGATTATAAACAAAGTGACGAAAAACAAGCCTCACTTGAACGTTGAGCGACACAAGAAATAACCAAATATCTTTAAAGCCGGTATACGAACAAGCTCATTGACAGAATTGATCAATTTAAACACAACTGCAAGACCCTTCTTTCGATCGAATGCCGGTACCATTGCTGCCGGCTTTTCAGAAAGTAACCGTGTTGTAAGAGCCAACACATCATATAGATTATCATCCTTTAAAATTTCATTTCTGAGACCTTTTAGTATGAGATAAACAACAATTACCATGAAATTTTTTGGCCATCTAACACATAAACATAATCATCATTTGTACGAAAGGAAAGATATTAGTTACACCTCGTCCATGTTATATTAAATGTGGACATTATTTGTGATACGGACGAATTCTTTTCGAAAATTGTTAATTAATATCAAAATTTACTGCTTACTTCGTTTACAGTGGCGATAAAATTTAATAACGCGTTAAATTCACTGTCTCGATTCATAATACCACTCTCCTTTGGATCTGGCACACAGATTAGTCGAGAAACGAAAGTCAACATATGTGCGCGTATAGTTACTACTTCACTTCTAAACATATATCAGCGAATGTAAAAAAAGCAAAACATGCGATATCGTAAACCACTAAATAACTTTTATCAGCCTTATCTAGTGGACTCATTTAGTGCGAACTTATCTCTAAATCCAATCATTTTGAGACATATTCAATCCTATAAAATCCATTATGTGTTCAAATGTTAATGTTCTGATAATCAACAGTTTATGCCCGAAAAATTATGTTATTTTTCGATGTCCAAAAAAGGGAACTTCTTTCTGAACAAAATCTCTCCAGAAGCCTTTAGAAAGAGGCAAAATTTGGATAAATGCTAACCGGGATGGCCTTCCTTCTCGACTGATCACGCTATACACTGACGGTGAACGTGGCATAACAACCCAGTAGTATAGCTTAATAGCATGGAGTACCTCAATTATAGTAGCACAACGCTGCACGATCAGTAAGAAATTTGCGCTCGACAAAAATTCACTCGCCAAAAAATAATATAACTGAATTTGTATCTAAAAAAACTGCTACTGTCTGATGATGCGCTCAACAATCAAATCGATATTATAAAAATATTAATTATGCGCAGGTATGTTAATTTATATTAAACTTCTTACACTAAATATCACTAAAACAAAAGGTAGAGAATTAGTTCCAACTTAGCTTAAATTTATGCAAGGGAATTTCAAGATTTCGGAGTCATTACAATTTTTTTTAATGAATAAATACCGGTGGCAGAAACATAAACTTACCGTAGGATCAGCTCTACTCCAAAGTTCAGGATTGAAAAGAATATAATCAAAAAGATGTTTCAACAGCGGTGTTCCCGAAGGAAGTGTCAATAGGTATTTTGAAATATCAATTAAAATTTCCAATACATGTTGACTGAGGTTTGAAGGTGATGACTGAAATAATACATCATTTATTAAGAATCACAGTTAATAAATATCATATTTATTGCTGCAATCAATTATCATAATCCCGAAGAATTTTAAAACAACTCACTTCATATAAGGCCTGAGAAATGACAAGAAATGCCCTGCTGTGATACAGTTGCTGGGGAGCACTTGAAGCAGTTCTTAGCAGAAATGATATAGCTGATAACAATTTCGAGCTGAAATATTCGCTTAATATTTGCAAAACTTTTGTTGCTTAAAACTTTAAAATATTCTTAAAAAGAAGTACTGCAACAGAAAAGTGCAATGTCCAGAATAGGACAGTGATAAATGGTTTTTTTTTCGTTCATTTTTAGAGATTGTGTGCTTCGATGAACAGTAAGAGAAGATATAATCGACAGTCGGTATTACAATCTTCTCCACTATTACTCTTCTTAGAAAAGTTAGACAAAAGTTAATAGCACGAGCACGAAAAGATATCATCTGATTTTTAAATAAATTAGTACTTGTAGTGTAAACATTAAATAACCTTATCTTTCTATCGTTCAGTATCTCATTTCAGTGAGAAAAGTATGAAAGCTTAAGCCAAAAACTAATTCAACGAATTTGAATCAAATTATGAGATCAAAATGAAAGCTAGATTAGTTTAATGCTTGAAATAATTCTAGCTTTATCATTATTTCACGAGTAGTAAGAAACAATATGAAATAGTTGAACACTATTTGTTACCTCTGATAAAGAGCAATTTTTCCTTTCTACAAATAAATTAGAAATATTAAACAAGGAAAAGGGAAAGATGAAATATTTTATTTCCTCAAAATCTATCAAAAGAAAGGAAAAAATTTTATTTGCAAAGAAGGAATGCTTTAGAATTTTTCAAAAAACTCACGCTCCTGGTCAAACTCTTTTTAGTCAAAGCGACTGATGATGAATATGGCAAGAATGAAAAAAAAAATGATGGAGAAAATGATGATGCATGACATATTCCAAAATGAGTAAGAATTAATCCAGATATAGCAAGAATGAAGAAAAATAACCACATGAACTAGCAAATACTATCAGGAAGAATCGGTAGATGTCTAGTATTGAATGAAGAATGAGAATGAGTAAATAAATAACGAGAAAAGTATTCCATAAATAGAGCAGTAATTAGCAATGATACAGATGTAATTCAATTATGGCTTATCATTCTATTTTTTTTATTTTCTCCCTATTGCTTCTTGTTGGAACTTAATTGCACAAGTTCCAACAGTTTTACATATGACATAACAAAGTTAATTTCTCCATATAGCTTTCGAATAGTATAGGACTCGATGATTTGAAAAATTACCAAATATCAATTTTTCGAACATTTCCATCACACTGAGGAAAGTCTAGTTGCGAAAATAGAGGCAAAAGCATCTGTATGCCACCTAAGGAATGTAATGAGTTGTGGATTGAATATGTTTTTACCACTTCGACACCCTAAAAAAAATCAATGGAAAACCGCAGCAGCAAAATGGAAATATTCAATACGGCAGCATATGTATAAAAACAAATGACAGAGTCATTTAAAAAAGTTCTTGAAAATTGGTAGAAATATGGACCTCTTTCATAATGGCATGCGGAATCTGCACAAAATACGAAGCAGCTGTTTTAGATGCTGAATGCAGACACAGCTGTCCATCACAGTTCTTTGGTGAATACGCTATCACAATAGAAGCACTGAGCTTTCCATCAAATATAAACTGAAATATAAAGATTCCACTAATGCAAAAGTTAATAAACAAATTCGACCATTAATAATATACTACCTTTTTATAATCATCAAACAAATCAGTCTCGACTTCATGTAGAAAACGACTCTGATACGATGGTCCCAAACAAAAAATTGCATTAGCTTGTTGCGAATTTAGGGCTTCCGAAAATACATACAACGCTGCTATCTGCCCGCAGAACGGTTCTTCTCCATCAGGGCCACAACCAATACTACATTTATCAAAATGTTCTGTTGTTGAAACTAACCTAAAAAAATCTCTTCAAATGACCCCCGTTAATATAATGACAAACAAATGAAAGGATAATTGATGACAACCGAAAGAGAAACAAAGAGTTCAGATACCATGGAACATCGAAGGATTCAATCATTTGGCCATCCACAAAACACTGGATTTCACTCTTCGACCAACGAGAATAAATATATGAGATTGTAACATGATGCCATCTAAATAGAAGCACAGCATAACTGTCAACAATAAAGCATTCTTCCATAAACAGGAAAAAAACGAACCTTCTGGGTGTCAATTCAAATCGTATACATCGTACTGTTTCCTTACTCATGGTTTTAATACAACTGATAACCAAACAATTGCCCATAATATAACAATTGTAGCCAACTCCCTTTGTGGTCCGAAAACTTGAAAAAAAACTTTTATAATGAAAAAAAAAAAACAGGAAGTTCCTAGTTGAAAATTAACAGTTCTGGTCAACAGTAAAATACCTTATTAATAAAATTAAATCTATACATACCAATATATGTATGGACGCTCCTTTTCGAAATTAACACTATTTAAAGGGTCCATTTTCAACCAGGTACAAAAACTCCAGCCATTCTGATAAGGCCACTTGGTCAGCGGAGGTAATGCAATACCCTTAAAGTTTCAAAACGTCTTTCATTAAACTTTCTTATTTTTTTATCAGTAATTTCTTTTGAAATTCAAGCAAAGAACTAACTGCATTATGCACGCCAGGGAAGGAGAAGAAAACATCCGCACCATCGCGTTTTGGCATTTCTCCCAGCACATCCAAAAGTTTGATCGAGTTCTTGCGCTGTAATTTGATTTACTAAGCAAGAGCTTTTTATAATAAAAACTGCTCATCAAAGAAAGAATATTAGCAAACTTTTGTTTAATATTTCCACACTTATCCAACAATAACTGAATTATAATTGAATAATGAAGAAAACATGAACACATACCCATTTCCTATTTACTGCCTTCAAAGCAAGAAGAAATCTTTTGGTCTCCTTAACTGTGATACTGTACGTGGTGAGCACTCCAAGAAGTTGTACCAACAAATCCGAGACAACTGCATCGCTACCTGATAACCGATCCAGGATCTAAAATTTCCCAAGAAATTTGTTGGAAAATAACACATTTTAGAAAAGTTTCAGAAAAATTAACCTCCAAAACAAGGCCAACCCTTGAGCAAGCTTGCATATTACGTGCACTTTTCCTGACAACGCCAATAAATACGCTCCATACTTCTGCCTACAAAATTATTATTACATGCTTCAGCTCCTAAAATGGCAAAATCAGCACAACGAAAAAAAATGAATAACTGCAGGAAAAGTTATCGAAAATAATGTCACTCAACTGTAAGAAAATAACAAAGCAAACCTCTAAATGAGATGGAGCTGTGTCCAACAAATGCAACATACGAATAATATTTCTGGAATTTTCGATGATAAACTTTGATTCAATATCGAATGCGCCACCAACGAGCTGGAAAAAGGAATTGTTACGATTGCAAAAAATAACTGATTCCTTAAAATGAATTTATTCCCTGTTAATAATGATATATCTTTTCCCATTTTAATGCTATATTTAAACTGACCACAGTAAAGATTGAATCAACAATTTCTTTGTGTGTCAGAGTTCTGTCTTGCAGACCCCGCTGTAACCTTTGAAACGTCTCGTCAGGTGTTTCATCTACCGAGTGGATTATTACAGTGTTATTTTCCACTTTACTCTTAATCAAATTAAATTGTTTTTCGGAACTTCGCACAACCTAAAACACAAAATTTAGAAGTGCTTGCGATTTTGCTTTTTTGAATGGATTGATTTTGACATTTTTTGTAGACAAAAAATAAGCTTTTAGAAAATTTATCCCAGCTTAAAAATTAAGAACAAGCTAGCCCCAAAACCTAAAAATTGTATATGCAAGTCTGTTTGCAATAGTTACATTTAAGTCTATCTTGAGCTTTGTTTTAATCTCGTAGAAAAACAACTCAAATGCGGTAACAATGTTTTTTTTAAATTAAAATATAGTTTACAACTTAAGCAAATTAAAGCAAACTAAAACAAAACAAACTAAAACTAAAACAATTAAAGCAATTTTTTAACTAAAATATTTGTGTTCATGGCATTCGATTTTTATACTGAAACTGATATATAAAAAGAACGGGAAAAGTTAAGCAAATGAAATTAGTTGTGTATGAAGAATAAAATGATAGGCACAAATGTACGAAAATAATTTTCAAGAAGGCATATATAAATAAAAAAATGTTGAATACTTTTAAGTATAGAATGAGAGCAAGAGAGAAGAAAGATAAATTCTAATATTTTTCAATTTAATAATCGACTCTTTTAGCATGCAAAATATCACAAAAATTTTTAGCATATAAAAAAAATAGAATAAGGCAAATGTTAGTAAGTGTTCTCACACTTTGAAGCTATAAGTTAATATATTCCATGAACTACTAATTTTCTACACTTTCTTGATTTTTTTTACACTTGTTCCTTTATTTCGCTAAGAAAAAAATTTAACTGCTCATTTAACATTAACTTAGAGCAAATAGAAGTATAATTCTACAACCGTAAATTAAATGAAATACCTGTTCAATGTGCTCTTCTTTTAAAGACTTGTCATTTTTATCTTGCGCATTAGTAACTTTTTCTTCACCATGATTATCAACAACATCATCAATAGCTTCTTTCAAGATACTGTTACTTGATGGATCATCAGCGGTTGATGCCACGCTTCTTTCGTCCAATCTAACATCCTCCATTTCACTTTCACTTTCAGCATCACATAAATTCTTCAAATTTATTATTATTATTATTATGAAGTATATATTCACTGAATTTCAGCATAATTACTTTAGTATATGATACGTAAAGTAACTTGTATAATTGTAAAAACGATTAATTAAACAAGTGATTACTAATAACTGATATGCCAGGACCCTGCATATTTCACTGAATTGTAATAAACATTCATTCGAGTGCTTATTACAGTTCAATCAAAGAATAAACATAATTCATCATCAAAATGATTAATTTGGTTAGAATTAGCAAGATGAATTATTGTCAGGATAGTCGCTTACACTAGGAAAACTAGTGAAGACAATGCATACTTTTCAATTACTATCAACAAATAAAACTAATATTAGTATTAATTTTAATAAAAGTGACATGATAACAGCAAGATGACGAGTTATACTATGCTGAATAGAAGCAATCACCTGCGTATGTCCGGCAGCATCAGAATTTTTCGAGTTTCCAGAGTTAACTGCAACTATCTCGGAGGCAGACATTCTCGGCTTTACCACAGCAGTACTTCTGCTTCGCGTTCCTCTTTCCTTCTGAAATGAACTACATTTAAATTGTTACGTTGCGCAATCCATCCACAGCATTCCTCGCCTACAACGACTTTTTCTTATGCCACTGAATGAATTATCATCAAAAGAAATAACGAATAAGTTAGAAAAATCATGAAAGTGTCATTCTCAGGTCACTCTTTCACGAACAAAATACCATATTAGGCATTCCTTCCCTCAACACGACAAATACATCCAAAGAAGCCACCGGCAATCGCGGAGGGAGTGTTGGTCACTTGTTACGTGTGGCGAAGTGTATTTACTGCTGGGTGAGATACACTTTGCTATGTAGTGGACAAGGTGAGACAGAGTGGACTGTCGTAGTACTCACCGCAGATGGCTCAACTATACAGTGGTTGTACAGTGCCAGGATCAGTAGCTCAACAATTCACTGTCCAATGTCCAAACTGCACTTTACGTTTCTCTCTCTCTCCAACTTTCATTTACCAACAAGTTTGTTTCCTTTATTTTTCATTGTACCATGGTTCTGTATTAGGTATGAAACGAAAGCTTCAGACTTCAGAAGGAATAATATGTGGCAGAATGCAGGCTATTATGTGGTTTGAGAGAGATGGATGGGTGATGATTGAATGGAGATGAATGTGAGTTGATAGGGATTTTGATTATTCATGAAGATAAATACTGCTCTGAGCATGGTTTTTGATGTATATCAAGGAGATAATGAGGAAAGGGATAATGATTTCTTTAGTTATTAAAAAACGGTGAATTCAGAATGTTCGTATGTTTCGCTTACTGTTCTATTCCCTCCCTAATTTTTGTCGTTCTTACATGCCACTTCTATTTTTATTTTTCTTGAAAGTGAAAATTGAAGCATATAATTAAAGCATTTAGAAGCTACAAGCATAATATGACGTTTGTTTACTTTTTCATATGCTTTTTCCAGAGATGGCCACAAAATGTTACATTCTCACAGATGCCGAACTTTCAGCACACCCAATCATTCATTCAATATCCTAGTTTGCAAAGTGGTGTGCGATCAACTTTTTATACACCGGCACATTCCAGTTATCATGTATTTGGTGTAAACCAGCAACAACAAATGACAGATAGTACTAAAAGTAGACAGGGTGTTTTACAGAATGCTGCAGACGTGAATGATATGATATGCGATATCCTCATTGATATCTTAAATTCAGATATGTGTAAGGTGAGGATTTGTTTTATGACAAGGAAGAATTGAATTAAGGAACAGTTGTTATCTTACCATATTTGATACACTATCAGAACGTATCGACAGTACATTGTCATATTTAATTTTCTCTTTCTTGCATAATTCATTATTTCTCATTTTACATATTACATCTTTTGCATATATGTTCACTAGGCAAGGTGGATACAATTTTACACTGCAGAAGAAACTATCAAATTTTGCATATTTTTGAAAGACTTTTATCTTAATTCGAAAACTCATCTCTCTTTGAATTTCATGGTGTTATATTCTTTTGAATCTTTCGCAATCAATTTCGCTATATATGAATATTGTTCTTAGTATGGTATTACCGTTTGTCAGCTAATGGTTTTGTTGAAACAGTCATGTGCAAATTATAATATAATACTGCCATCATCAATAACGGATGACTTCAAGGAATTCTTACATAACAAAATGACTAGTTATGTTGAGATTGAAGATGATCTGTGTCGCTATCGCCGTCCAACGCTTCCTATTCAAGTAAGAGGTTTTGTAAACTACAGCAATTATTAATTCTTAATTAACTATTAAGCGAGTCCATCAAGACTATTTGCAAGGATGTTAGCTATAGTCACAAATTTATGCTAATTTCCTTTTTCTAAAATCCTTACTAAATTCTTATTACGATTGCGAATTTTACCTTCTTACTTGACAAGCTTTACATAGATCATGGTAAATAATTAAAAGTTGTCATAAAACAGTGAAAAGAATGGATGACTTAAAGGTAGCAACAATAAATTTATCTCAGCTAAATGTTGTTGTGAGTTTAATGACAAATGATAAAATAATTGAATACGAATAAAGAAACTAGGGGTGATAGCGTCTCTTATAAAATGTCTAATGTGAGGTTATTAGAAATAGCCGGCGCACTCGATAATGATGTATTTTAGTTGAAAGTTTTGTGAAAGTTTCATCAAAAAATTAGCTAAGAAATTCGGAAGTGTAACTTCATTCTTCAATTATTAAATACGCTTCCCTCACCATTTAAGTCAATTTATGATTATCTTAGCAATTTAAAGAAATTAATGGACTTAGTTTTATCAATTTCCGCTGAGACAAAGGAAATTACGGAAATGTTGAAAATATTGACTAAGAATACGATGAAAGAGGATAGATGAAGATGTGTGTTTAAATAATTAGTAATTAAATTATGATGCCTGAAGGAATTTATTTTTCGTTTTATTTGTTTTTGAGTGACAGAAGAAATCCTCATTGTTGTGATATGTTTGTGTCATGTAAGCTTTTTTATAGTTGTACATGTTTTCAGGAAGAAAGCATTTCAAGTTCATCAGCTTATGAAAGGAAATCAAATCACCTCAAAACATCCCCTGCTCCTTTAGTCCCATGGCAAGCCTTGCAAAACTGCTATATTATATCAGCTGTCGATACAAATGCAAGTTATTCAGCAGATCGAGTGGGAAAAGTCATGTCGAAAAAAAAGAAATAAAGAAAAGCGTTTTATATAAGAGTGTGGAAGAGCCTTCATTTAGCTTTACTAAATTCCAATAGGGTAGAGATAAAATTACATTTTGATGCAACGATTTAATGACGATATTTCATCTTAATATTCTATCCATTGCGAGTAAAGAAAAAACTATCAGATATCTCGTAATCTTCATTTAAGTGGCTAAAGTATTTGCATGCTTTTAAGTAAAATTTTAAAGTGGCAGCTTTTATTTTACATAAAATTTTGATGTCCTAAAAGATTTAGAGTAAACAGTTTTCTGATGGAATAGAAGAGCGTCATAGGAATGATGATGTAGATAAAACTGCCGTGACTGATCCAATAGTTCCTGTTGGAGATAAAAAGTGTAATGTATTGCATAGGTATGTCGAAAATAATGCACTATCGAAGCATTCATATACGTAAGTTTATATTCGAAAAATTTTGCAGTTATGTTATGGATAAGTTAACAGCTTTTTTTTGAAATTCAAATTCAGACATCTACGCTAATTATTGTGTCTTATATAATATATATTACATAGTTGGAAGTGGCTCTTTCAGGAAAAATAACTTAACTAAAATTATGGACAAATGGAAGAAAATATTTATGGGTGACTTGAAAGAACTGATTAGATATTTACGGATGGTAGATGATTATTTTCATGAAAACGATGGCAAATTCACTTTGACAGAATTCAAGGTTTGTTCCTGTTTTGCTAAGTAGATCTACTTACGAAGGAATATGTGTTACTGTAAACATACGCATACAGGAAGTGTTTGGAGAATTGAGTTACCGGTGGGAATTTTGTGACATTGATTTGATAGAGATGGATATAATAAATATTGTTCATGGTATTGGTGTGGATGAAGAACCAGTGCTCATCGTCAATCCAATCATCAGGTATTCATTTGATCTCTCTAAAAGTCATTTTTATGTAATAGTTAGTTCCAATGAATGCTATTCTCTTAAGAGTTACGGAAGAAATCAATTACTTTAAAAATTTTTTTTTAGGGAAATGGAATTTCCAGAAGTGGCTGAACTGTCTAAGCAAATCTATAATTTACTGTCAAAACTGTTGCAGTCTGTAAATTCCGTAAAAGTTGAAGTCATCGTTCGCACAGTGGTAAGTGTTTAATTTTATGAAAAAGCTAAAGGTGTTAGGAACTGATTCTAAAGAGGTTATGAAAATGAAATCTGGGTTAATTTCAGAATTTTGGTATTAATAATAGCAAAACGATAGACGAGAAGTATGCTCTGTTGTGGGAGGTACTCAGTGACTCTCAATTTCAAAATGTGTTTGTTGTTGACATTTTACAAAAGCAAAATAAAGGTAAATTGAATCGTGTAAAATCAAATCATACATGACCATTTTAAACTTTTACATCAAAAAATTTTGGTAATATTCTTAAAATAATAATAAAAACGGTTTGTCGTAAATACTTTTATTATGCTACGTTATATGCTCGAGACCTAAAATCGATAAAATGATATTAGTACCTAAAACATTAAAGACTTTACAACTGCATAAAGCATTGAAGTTATTAATTGATAAAACAAAAGCTTTTAGAATGTGGTTTTGATGTAATGGTGCGTTTCAATCCAAATGTGGACCTGTCGGGAATATTTGCTAAGTAACATTTCTGAAGCAAATGAAAACTTCCTCATTATAATTAAATACATCGAACAAATACAGTTGATATTAGTCTTTGAAAGAAATTCTTGACTTTATTCTAATTTTCAATTTTTTTGTACACTAACGCTATTCTTTATTAATTATAGTTTTGTACTTTTTTCATTTGGTTTTTTTGGTACGTGAAGTGATGATTGTCGAATTAACAGCTGTAACCTTACTAAAATAATTGAAGTGATGTTTTTATTTTATTTTTTCTACCGATTGTTTTCTTTTTGATGATTGTAACCAGATATTTCATAAGTACTGAGAAAATTAATTTCTCACTGGTTGATAACATATTACTTGTTTTAAAATCATTTTGTCTCAATTTTTCTTTCTACTTTTTAATCGTAAGTAATCGACATAGCTTTTTCTATATATCAAGTTATACCTCCTGTATCGGGCTAATATGTTATCTAACCAAATGAGTTTTTTCTTTATGCGATATTTTAATCCACCTGTGTACTTTCCGATCTCCTATCTGGGTATTTCATGATCAGATGTATATTATAGCCCATTGTGAATGAAATATACTGTTGCTGCTTATATTGAAGGATTGCCTTTCTTTAACTTTTGTCCTTACAAAAGATTTGTAACATTTATTTGCCTTCGATTTCATGTCACATTATTATCATTGCTAAGACCTTCACTTTGGTAGTTACTAGAACCTGCAATGCAATATTGCCGTCTTAAAATTCGGATATATATATATATACTTGTTTTCATGATATAGGAAGTAATCACTTGTGCTACTATTTGCGCTGAATTTGGTACCGAAACATGTTTAAACGGTATCGGAAAGTTAAATGTTCTTTTATAATACTTGGGTCCTAATTTCCATATTTCATTTCTGAAAGAACTACCGAATCTGTACTTTAAAGTGTTATTAGAAATCACCTCCAGTCATTATCATTTCTCTTTTTAAGATGGATGTAAATAATTCTGGAAGATGATGTTAGTTGAGGACCGAACACTTCATTCTTTTCTTTTATTTAATTTTTGCAGGGATTATGCCTTGAGCGATTTGATATCGGTGTTATCACAAAAGGAATTGTCCAATGAAAAGAATGTTTATCTTCCAGTTACATAATATCATATTGATTTTCCGGAAATTCTCTAGAATGAATAAATGCCGATTGGCATTGTCTGTGACAGAAATGTCAAGAAAGAAACCACTGATTGTCATTCTCGGTTGTACCGGAACAGGCAAAAGTGATTTAGGCATTGCAGTGGCGAAGAATTTCAATGGTGAAGTAATCAGTGCTGATTCGATGCAAATTTATAAGGGTTGGAAATACTTCCAAATTCGGAAATTAGAAAATATTAGCTGCTGATAAAGATTGAAGCGGTAGTGTGTGTGTTCTAATTTACCTGTAAGTGTCTTAATTTTATGATGATTGACCAGGAATGAACCATATCCATTTTTGCCGAAGAATGCTTATGAAAGAAAAGAGTGCAAGGAGTGCAAGTGGATTTCCAATTAATACTTCAATAACTTATATTGATAAGGACGTAGGAGATCTATAACAGTGTGAACAACAAATCGTTTCTTTTATATATTAAATCAGTAAAAGAGAAAAGACGGGAAGTAGAAATTCTGACCCATGGATCGAAAAATCAAGAATCATTCGTCCATTTAATGAAATAGCATTGCTTATGCAAGATAAAGAAGATAACTCGTTTTATAATACGGTAGAAAACAGTGATGTACACAGAAATTTTACGATGAATAAGAGAGAGAAAACAGTGTTGACGTACAAGCTGGACATTTTGAGGATAGAAGTTTCCCAACTTTTGATGAGAAAGGAACAGAATCTTTTAATCCTTCATTTTAAATCTTGAAAAATTGTTTTTAGGTTTGAATGTTGCTACGAACAAAGTATCACAGGAAGATATGAATGACGTGACGCACCATATGATAAGCTTTGTTGAGCCGTCCACTTCTACATATAATGTACACCAGTAAGTACCATTTGGCAGATTGGTTTCATCCTAAGAATTTATCTTATGTTTGCTTTCAGATTCACTAACAGAGTGTTGCCTTTATTGGAAGATCTTTGGCGTGCTGGCAAGTTACCTGTTATTGTTGGCGGAACGGGGTACTACATCGAAGGGATTTTATTTAAAAACAGTTTAATACCAACAAATACATTCGGTATCGATTTCGCGAAATTTTTTTGCGATTAAGACTAGAATTTCTCAAACTATATGTGACTTCATTATTTTGAAGATTTCTAAAATTTTCCAAATGATTAAAAGAAGTTCCAATTTACTGCTGTGATAGATGGCGGACTAGTAAGTTAAGGACTTCTGAATATGGCTCAGATGACTATTTTGATTTGCTTATAAAAGCTACTTTAAGAGTTAACTCTTGCCACTTTTGTTTGCTGAAAATATTTGCCGGATCGTTAATAATTCTCTCAAAACTTTTATTTACATATTTAACAGATGCTAAAAATGACTTCGAGGATCTCTCAGATGATGAAGTTTACGAATTATTGAAACATGTCGATTTGGAATCTGCCATGCAAGTATGCTACTTTATACTGTTTGTTGTTTGTTGCTTATTTTTAACGCTTGCAACCAACTTTAGAGGTCTATTTTGTCCGCTGAGCTACTAACTTTCCATTTTTGGTATTATTAATTGTCTTACATTGTTTAGTATCACTGTTGATACCAAATAAACTTCTTAACATATTGTAACAAACAGCACGTCATAATAGAATGTGAAATCGAATAACAACTGATCTATTGTTAAATAGTTTAAATGGTTTTGTCTGCTTACTGTAAATTGTGCTGTGAAAATTATAACGGTTCTTTCATTTGTGAATCCATCTGCCTTCAGGTGCATAAGAACAACCGTTTTCGCGTTGTTCGTGCTTTACAAATTTATTATGCAACGGGACAGCGTAAAAGTGAATATTTGGAAGAGCAGCATCGAAGAATAAAATTAGGCGAAATGCTGCGTTTTAAAAATGTGTTATTACTTATCCTCAATGCTCGTAAGGAATTGTTGGAAGAACGACTTGATGAACGAGTCACAAAAATGATCGAAAAAGGATTAAGGAAAGAAATTGAAAACTTTTATGAGCAGGTAAAATCAATTTCTTGAATTTCCTTCACTGATTTCCATGGTAAAGTGGCATAACAGTATGGCAGTTTTTAAAGAAAGATTGGGAAATAAAAAGTTAAATTGATAAAATTTCGTTGTAAGGCGATAACTTAATTAATGTTCAGACTAAAGAATAAATAAAGATGCATATGATAACATTTTTCAAGTAACGAAGATGGAAAATGTTAACATGAGCTTAGGATCTTTGTTTTATTACTATCAGTGAAAAGTGTTAATTATGTTAATCCGCTACTGTATTTGCTAACATCTAGTTACCATGTATTTGAAGTTAATATTGTCTAAATATGTATCTAATTATACATGTAGTCATCATCACTTGTGAATACCACTGTACTATTCATCTCCTTTCTTTTGGATCTTTCAGATCATTTGTATTCATTTTCATTGTTCATATCATTCCCACAATATGCTAACTCTTTCTTTGCACAAAAAAGGATTACTGAAAGGAGGAAATGCAGAAATTTAGATGAAATCTACTGGAAACTGGGGTAGATGAATTACAATGAATTCTTCTATTGTTTAAATCATCATGAAGAAATTATTGTAGTATCGCCACTGTCTCACAGCTCATGGAGTGGCTCAATCGATTGCAGTAAAAGAATTTCATGATTATCTACAACTAAGTCCACATGAACGATACACGGAATTGGGTGATAAATTGTTCAGCGAAGGTTGTGCAACTCTGAAATTGCACACACGGCAATATTCACGAAGGCAGCGGCGATGGATTAAACAGCATTTGTTAGGAGGAAATACTTCAATGGAAGTTAGTATTACATTCATTTGTTCTCATGTTATTAACAACAGAATTAAAGTTTTGTAGCAACATACAGTATGTTAGTTACTATCAATATTTCATTGAAAAATTCATGTTTAAAAACTGTTATTTTACTGTGAACGACATTGAATTCCATTTCAGTTTTTATTTCAGTCAACGAATATAGCATTTTTTGATACCTCGGAGAATTTTTATGATATTGTGGTACCTAATGTGTTGAATAGAGTCGATCAGTTCCTAAATATCACTAATGATGATGTTTTTCTAAACAACGTGGAAGGAAATCAACCTTTTACAGTTGACTTTGATTACAGAAAGTTGGCTAACCAAGTCAGGATATTCATTTTTTATTTTTTTTTTTCAAAATTTGCAGGTATTTTATACTCCCGAAATTACTGGAATAAATAGTGAGGTAAAATAATGAGAGTGCTGTCTAATATTATCATTTATTTATGCCTGAAAATAGTGCTATCATTCATCGTTAATTTAGGTTTATTACTGTGAAACATGTAAAATTGATGTACACGGTACGGTGAACTGGGAGGCACACTTGAGAGGCAAAAAACATCGGAGAATGCTCAATAACAACATAGAACATGAACAAGTCGACAAATTACATCCTTAAGATATAATTGACTTATTACTCGCAAACTCTCAAGAATTGTAAACTTGCATTTCGTAAATATATTTATATATTTCTGGATCAGTCTTATGGATTCTTTGCAAGGAAGTCACATTTTTGGAAGGCAAAGTTTGGAGATATCAGTATGGCCAATCATATTTTATATTTTGATACTTCGTCATCATTCTCTTGTCCAATGATTCTTCTAAATTGTAGTATAGGGAGGAAGAATAAGATTGGTATGGGAAAAGTTATGCTACATCACTATTCGAATGTTACTATTTTTTGTGCTGGCGACATGTGATGTATTCGGTTTACTTCCGTTTTATAATCAATGGTGGAAATGTTGGACATTCTATATTATATATTTTCCAGCAGGTGAGAACTACTAGTTAGTAACGATTACGCCTTGAATGTTGGCATTTGATTATTACTCTAAAAATTTTGTTGCAAAAATGTTAATATGCTGAAATTTTGGAAGTTTAAGAATAAAGTATGTAATATCATTCACTTTGTTCGATTCACTAAGGTGATACATATGGTAATAGTTTATTATTATTGCCTTCGAAACTTTTTTCCAGCATTATTTTCAGGTTTTTTTGTTTTTGAAAAAATCAGGGAAAAAGCTCTCAGAGAATCACATAGTACAATTCTGCTAATCAAAAGTATAGTATTTTGATGAGATCATGTGATGCTGCTCTACAACCGCAATAGCAGAACTATGAGTGCAGAGTTTCTTCAGAAATCTGCCATCGAGCACATGGCGAAAATCGCTTGCTTTTTTTCCTATATAATTTTTCTTTTCGTAAAGAATTTTTCGTTTCTCTACAACCTTTCAGTTGCATAGCTATAGCTTATATTGAGGGGTCCCTCCTTCATTTTGTGAAATAACAAATGCTTGTTTTAATTAAAACGGTTAATTAAAAGATCCAGCAGTTAGCAAAATTGGAACTGATTCAGATGGCGGGATAGAAAGAAATGGAATTTTAGTATGGAATTTGGTCAGCTTAACGCAAGCTTTTCGAGTATTTTTTCACTTCTTTATGACAAATTCCACAATGTTGGCAGTGTATATCTTGACATTTTTATGACACCAAACAAGTCTTTTTAATAAACATTTTAAGGCGAAAAGTAGAACAAGAATGTGTTGTCCCTAATAAATTAATGATTGTAAGAAAGCTGTCACTGCCAGGAAGCAGAAATACTTCTCTGAGTGTGAAAGAGAGATGATCTTTGAGGTGAGCGTAAATTTTGTGAGATCGATTGTTTTGAGAAGTGTCTGTTCCTATTCTGATAATAATGAGGCATTTGAATAGTGTCGCAACTCGTCAAATGATGAGAGGGTGGGATGAGTGTGTTGAAAAGCCTGGGAGTGGATGGAAAAGTGAGAGAGACAACATAAAACGAACTATGAACTACCCTCCCTTCAGGAAGCGATCAGCTCGCCCTCGCTCAACTTCCCTCTTAAATTTGTTTTCCATTTAGTACCTCTCAGGTGTGTGTGGGTGGGTGGATTTGACGCAGCTACAGCTGCAACCACTTTACATGAAATACGATATATCCGACACGAGGCAAACAATCCAATCGACATCACCTCATCCATTTCCTGCTAAACGACACATGTGTCGATATGAACTCACTGGGGCAGTTACGTAACGCTTACTGAAATCTAATCCCTATTACAACTAAAATATTTGTCATCACCTTTGTAACTATTTGATGATTAAGGCACATCTTTCCTATGAATTTTGTTAGTTTAAATTTTAGTATGAATCTTTCCTATAATAATAAAATTCCTATGAATTTTAGACGATTAAAGTATAATCTTTCCTAAATTTAGAGATATTGAGAGAGATCGAAATATCTTTCGATGTAAAACTCTGTTAACGGAAAGGAGGGAACGAAGACACCGAAATAATTGGCCGAGTATACTTCTTGTTATGTAATAGTTGGTACCTCTTGTTATATAACAGTTGGTCGAGTGCATCATCATTGGTAGAATGGTTATGAAACGATGAACTAAATTAACAGGATATTTAGGTTGAAGGTTATCATCTCAAAAGGAATTTTTCAAACTTAAGCAAAATATAAATATGTACAAGACATATCTGTAGGGAAATCGTTCACTTCCATTTCACAGAAAAGGGGTTATATGAGTATGTGTGCACGTGTCCGTGTGTTTCGTTTCAAGCGTCGCTTCAACGTTTGCTTATGATGTTTGAAATAATTCATATACGATTGCTTCAGTCCAGAAGTGTTCTTACAGAGTTTCATCTCTTTTCTTTCTTCAACGAATGAAGTCTGTAACTGACCACTGCTTTCAGCGTAACAATGCTATTTTAAACGCTTGCACAAGCTATTTCTAAGTAATTAAAACTTTTTCAAAGATCAATTTACATGCCAACTTCTCTAACATGCCAGTACGAGCCAGAAAGAGAAGAACGCCGCATGTCGATAACACGAATGTTTGAAGAAGGATGGAAAAGTGAAAGGTATGAGACAGGTATACTAGTTATCCAGTCCAGTCTTTCTTGTACAATCTGGAAATCACTTTTTCTTCACCGCAACATTCTTTACTCAGGCATGAAATAGAAGAGCGGCATGATCATGAAGCGTACTGTCACGTGGATACGGTACTCGAAACGAATACGTCAATTAGTCCAGCGTCCGCTGATACTATCACGATTACTAATATCATACATTCTGATGGTTGGGAAGATGTATCAGTAAGTTACTTGTTATCCACAGTGACGAGTTTTTCTGGAAAGAAGTGAAAGAAAGAAGTTGTATGAAGAAGAGTGAGAGTGGTCATTTTGACAGTTAAGATTCATGGAAAGTATCCGGAGAAGCAAAACAAATCGTAACCTTAGCAAAGTAAATGGATTATATAGCCAAAGACAATCAAGTGGATGCAATTACTACAATAACAAAAAAATTTTTCAAAGGAGAAAACTCCAAGTATGATGAGTGTCTTTGGAGAGACTGCTATTTCCGACTAGCAGCCATTATACTGTGGCCATATTACGAGACTTTGAAGAAAAACAGTTTTTCCGGAGTTTTTTATAATCTTCGGTTTCCATCTCTAACAAAAAAATGTCTTGGTGACAGAGAGAATAGCACAGGTCTTGTAGTCCGTTCGAAAATTATAGCAAATTAGGCACTCCACATCTCCTGGGAGGGGATATCTTACATGCCATAGCTGAAGGGGGATGGGATGTTGGGAATAATCTGTCGGATTAGCTAGGCTAGCCCGGTGGCGAGAAGACAGTGTCATTGCACACTCCAATCTCTCCGGTCTCTCCTTTTTTCCCTCACTCTTTCCTCTCTTCTTAGTAATCATCGATTTGCCTACATAGTTAATAAAAATACTCACTCGTCCAATCATAACATTGATTGTAACTTAAAATGCTAGTTGTTTACTTGTAAGGCTAGTTATTTACTTGTAACGTTGATTGTTTACTTATCATGCAGATAAAAGCAAGCAAAGAAAAGCCAAGTTAAAAAAAAGTTGGACTATGACAGATAAACAGATATCTCAGATTGTGAATAACTATGGGCGAAGGAGAGTTAAGTAGCTCCTCGTTAGCTTCTCCAATAACACTTCTCCCTGGCACACTGCAATTACATTACTAATTCATCTTCTACATTATCATCCGCCCTCTCTCTCTCTTTTTCCCTTACAAATTCAACTTTCTTCTGTAGGAGAGTAGATGGATCACTATGCAAATAGGAACATGAATCAATCTACCAAAACATTAGCAAGATCGATACACACGACAGCATCCGTAAGACATCTCGTCTTCTCGTTTCTACCGGTATTTCCCTCGATTTCAGCTCACAACATTACAGTTTATTTTAACGTTATGCGCGCAGTTCAGTACTTAACTTTCTTTCTAGTCAATATGAATTATAGGTGGGTGTGCGTGTTGTATTGCAGCATCATCGATACAGAGATAGGGACGGAAAAGAACGTCCGACAGATTATCATCAGGCCGACTATAGAAATACAAGACTAAAGGACTGTAGTGAAAAAGGTTATAGCGAGCAGCAGCAACAAGGTTAGTTTCATTCTAAATGCATAGTCCATCGAAGCGGTTATTAATCTTCCATGACAGCTTTCCTCGACGAAACCATCACTCTGGTACCCTCTTCTTGATTTGGTATTACAGAGTGTACTAAGCCTGAGCATTAAAAAGACGATCTTCAAGAGAAGATTGTGGCTGGGCCTTAGGGTCCCGGCGGCATCAGGGCACTCGTCATCGCCTCAATGCAGATTACATTACGCGACACGAGCAATAGTGCAAGAAGCCATTATCTCTACTTCCACTATTGCTGCGTTGTCAACCTGGTTTCTAAGTTATGCCTTCCAGATTATCCATGTATACTGCTTAACTGTGACCCGTACTATGATGCTCGGTTTACGAATAGAGTAGCCGGACATCCGGGTACAGGGGAGATGTGAACATTGGCTGAAATTGGTTTCATTTTCAACTCTGTTCACTACTCTCGCAGTATTCGCGGTATCTTTATGGTTGTATGATCAAGTTTGTCATGGAGAAATCACTTACTGGGAAATTTCTGGGTGATCCTTTCCTTCAACTTGTTCAATGTTGTTGGAGATATTTCCCCAATTCCCTACATTTTATTATTCTTCAGATGTTATTTCTCTTCAGTTAATTTTAAAAAGCGGAATTAGCTAAAACCAAGCTTCTTACCTGTTATTCTTCTTAATTCACCGATAATATTTGCATCAAATCAACACCAAATGTAAGTATGGTAAATTCCAGGTGAAGAAAGTAATCAGATACGGATTCATCAACAAGCAGCACAAAATCGTGATAAAACCGAAAAAAATCACAGATATCTGGAGGAAAAAAGCGTTCACATGTCTGTTGATTATAGTGCGCATGATTTTCACGAATCACGTGCTGTCATAGATGCTGCTGCACGCGACAATATACGCGTTCGACGTCATGGCGATACTACAGTGATAACCGAATATCGTGATCCTTATTCGTTTTATTGGCAGTTAGATCAGGCAAGACCTCAAGAGGATGAAACTCCTAAGTTGGTCCATTTTTCATTTTTTCTAAAATTGAATTTCTAATTATTTCATGTGTTCACTTGTTAATGGAGATGTTTTATTTAATTGCCAAATTTGAGTCGTTAGCATCTTAGATGGTAACTAAATGCTGCGATTTTCATAAATGTGCAGTTATGTTGGTTACAAAAAGGAGTAGTTAGAGATTGGGGTTTTCGAACTAGCTGAGAATTAATATGCCATCCATAAGATAACAAACAGCAACTCATTGATCTGATGTATTGTTGTATTCGATAACTCATTTATTTAGAAAGGTTTCTAAAAGTATGCCTTTCAATGATATGTTTGTGCGAGTAGGCTTAAGATGCTTTTGCCATGAGTTGTGATGCTGATTTATTAACTCGTTACATTTCTGATCACGCAGATATTTGCAATGTTGTTTCTTAATTTGAAGAAGACGAAATCTTTTGAGCTAGCCGTTATAAATGTTTCTATTGTCGTTTTAATACTGCAAATGGGAAAACTGGAATAAACCGTTTTTTCTACTTGTAATCTCGATCTAATTTTCGGTCTATAAATATTATTAACAACGTATTTTTTATTTATGTAGGACCGTGTCCATTTTTCTTGCTATAGTGGTAATGTTGATAGGAGATATTTAGATTTGTTTGTTCAGACATATGAAGCTTGTGAAATAACATTAATTTCCTGGATTCCTTGGCAAACGAAAAATCTTTTGCAAGTTGTCATCGCATTAACATGCATAGACTTATAGTCAGCTCATCATCAATGGCTTACCTTGATAAATAGCATGTCTTTTCTTCTGTACCGTTTTAAAAGTAAATGATTCTGCTATGACATTAGTGGAAAAAATTCTAACTTTCCTGTGTCGCTTCGGAAAAAAATTGTTTTTATGGGGAATAGAACAGATCTATGTGATTCTAATTTGTTGAATAGTCGTTCATTTTAGATCAACACCACAGATAGATTACGTTATCGACGAAGAAATCATAAATGATGCAGTTCTTTCTCCTGACAGTCATGACAGCGGAATAAACGTCGAAGTACAATACAGTAGGCCAATACGATCCGACGATCCTCCGCCCGCAAAACCACTTCCATTTGGATGGGAAAAACATGAAGGCATGCATGCATTTTTTGACATATTTTGAATTCACTGTTCTTTTCTGATCTTTCATCAATAGAGCAATTCTGAAGGATTCAAAACAAGAACTTTTACTTTCTGAATTCAGACGAGCTAAGAATGTTACCTTTACATTGTATGATTTTCATTGAGTTTAACGGTGTTTATAGATAATGCTAATTAATACCATCTTTTTCAGATCCTTCCGGTTTTTCGTATTATTGGCACGTGGATAGTGGCACAATACAGAGAGAACCTCCGGTATAGATATAGCAATTTTTCACAATATTTAGATTCACTGTTAATACCATACTTTGTAAAATCTTTAAAAGACAGAAAATACCCAATATATATATAGTGACTTATTTTCTCTAAAATTCCATTCTCACCCTTCATGTAAGATGTGGCCGTTCTATAATCAGGACGGAATTTCTTCTCCAAAGCATCCAGCACAATGGCTTATATTGGCTAGCTGTGATCGATGTTTGGTATTTTGTTCAAAGAGACTCATGTACTGGAGCGTTCCAGTGTACTCTTTGATAATTTTGGTATAATCTATAATTTTTTTATGAAGTTAGCTTTACGAAATTTTTTTTCAGCATAAGGAATTACCGTTCGTACCAGTATCCATACAACCTCAACTTCGTGATCAAGAGACTCAGGCGGATGCATTGCCGGCACCGCCAGCACTTCAGCAAATTGTGCAACTGCCACCACAACAACCGATTATCGAGGAGCACGCGTTTAAACAAACTACTACAAAACGATCTGTCGGTAACGATTTCAGTGACAAAGATGATGACATTGTAGGCAAAGTTAGTCCTTTAACTAAATATTTTTGGAAATGAATCAAATACAAGGCGTTCATTTTCTCTGTTATTAAACTTGTAAATGAACTTACAATTAGGAAGTTTTGGTTTGTAACTTGAGAGTTTTGTGAAAACTTGTCAAGAGATGTAGCAAGACAATTTATCAAAAATTCGATTTGTGGCGTAGTAGGAAGAAGACATGTACAGAAATTTCTACAGCAAACTGAAGTTATTAAAGACATACGTGCTGATTTCAATGGTTTATTTTATTGTGAATTTTAAATTAATCATTGTTTCCAGTATTGTATGTGCTAGGGATGAACATGTCGATCATATGAAAGGAGAGGTGGATAATGTTTTAGGATGGTAAAGTATATACCGGAATATACCGGACGCATGTCTTATTCCCCCATCATTAAAAACTATATTGAAGATAGGTATAGGATGAAAGTATGTTGAACTAAATTAGATCTTGAAAAGAATCTATTGGAAGAATTTGGAAATGCTAGGTTTTGGAAGATTATGCTTATTTCCAGAGGAAAATTTAAAGAAAATTAATTTCTAAAAAAAAACTGACAGTTTTGAGTACATCAAATTTTTATGATTTTTAGCCGGTTCGATTTGCAGTCCGCTCTTTGGGTTGGACTGAAATTCCAGAGGAAGATTTAACGCCTGAAAAAAGTTCGCGAGCTGTTAACAGAGCCATTGTGGATTTGAGCACGGGACGAAACGATATTCTGGATAATGTTTCTAAGTGGGGAGATGTAAGTAGTAGTGAGGTTCAGTTTTCAAGGAAGCTAGTAATTGAGATTTGTTTAAGTAATCTTAAATTCATTTTTATTCAGGAAACTCCTATCACATATATTTTTTAATTCAAATAATGTATTAATAGCTTTCAGGGTCGAGAACTCATAATGGAATTAGACGATAGTGATTTGACGTTAATTGATCCCGATACGATGTCTGTGGTACATACTGAACGAATGCAGCATATTCGAGTTTGGGGAGTTGGGCGTGATAATGGCCGGTAGGTGAAGATTCGTTTTTTGGGGTATTATATAGGAAGACTCGTAGCTGGGATTCAGATTTTGTTGCATATTCGAAATCTAATGGTTGACATTATTTCTTGTCTACATGCCCTAGCGGTCGAGTAGCTAATAATAGTACATGGAATAGCAAAAAACTTTGCGTGATTTGTGGCACAGCATAACATCTACTAATCGAATAGCAGTCTTCAAATATTAGAATTTTGCCAATATTAGAATTTTCTTGAGGATTAGTGGAATTTTTGGTTTGCAAAAATTCACAATGTGAAATAATTTGAGTTAGTTCAGACAGTATCTGTCGTTATTTGTTCCATTCTTTTATTCATGAGATGTTTTTTTTAATATTGCTACAGTGACAGGTAATTTTGCACGCTTCTTATCCTCTAACTTATGTTCGGATCGGGACTATATTCATTTTATAATGCTTAGTTTAATCCCCACTTTTCCAAAAAATCAATGTGCAGTCGCAGCCAGGATGTACCCTTTCAAGTCTGATTTTCGTCATGTTGTTGGAATTGCGAACTGCAAATATTTCTGCGAAACTTACTATCATTAAATATTCAAAATTTCTATTGTCCATTATTGATGTCAATTACTGTCTGATAAGTATACAATTTGAGAAGGTTTCATCTCACATTTTAGTAATTGAAGAAACTTTATTTGCCCATGAGTGAAATACTGCCGAATAGGGAAAATACCATTAACAATGTAGAAGCCATATAAGTTAATTAGATTGGTTTCATTCATAGTGGTTTTGCAGTATAGGACATCCTGGCTACGAGTCATCCCTTTCTGTGTTTTTTGTCTTCATGATCTTATCGGCGCTATTATTTTTGTGTTTGGAATTGTCAAATATCACACTTGTAAATGTTCTCTTTTACACGCACTCGTATTATTTTTGCTTTTCATGCTTATATGCTTATCCGAATTCATCTAATTATTTTTAGTAACTAATTTGCAATTTTAGAGATTTCGCATACGTTGCACGAGATCGAAATTCGCGTCGTTTTATGTGTCATGTGTTTCGATGTGACACACCGGCAAGAACTATTGCAAGTACCTTACGTGATATCTGCAAACGACTGATGCTTCAGCGACGACCAAATAATTTGGGCTCTTTGGATTATGGCGAAAAGAGGCTCATTGCTAGTCAGTTTAAAGTTATTGATTTATCTTATGAAAACTGAAAAAAAGGAACACAATAGTTAATATATTTGATAATCTGTAGGGGATACATATTTACCAACTCCAATCGAGGAGCCAAAAAAAACCATTCGGTGTCATTTCCTGGGCGTTACACAGGTGCCTCGAGCCACAGGTATTGAAGTCCTTAATGAAGCAGTCGATCGACTTGTATCACAGGTTAGTAATGTAAGTTTCCTTCTGCTAAGGTAAATACATAAATAATAGAACTCGAATGTTCTTTTCAATTGAACTGTTCGCATATTTTGTTAAATTATCTCAGTTGCAGTGTAGTGCTTATTATGACATCGATATTTTTTCTCAATCAATAGTTATATATTCCAATTATTCATCCATTTTCTGAGGATTGAAAAAGAAGCATGGCTTAGGAATAACCAAGAAGGTGGTAAGCGGATTAGAAATTTTTCTTTGAAGCGGCGGTTAATGATATCTCCTGCAGGATAAATGAGAGTTTCTGTTGTAGGTTCACAATTTATTAATGTTAAAAGCTTCTCAATGTTTTTTATAGGTTCGAGCAGACAGGTGGATACTAGCGAATGTTTCCATAGCTCCATCTACAATAATAATAAGTGAAGTGAACGGTAATCAAATTGCTCAGTGTAGAGTGCGGTACTTATCGTTTTTGGGGATTGGGCGAGATATCAAGTAAGTCATTTTTCTAGCGGATTTAATGTTGAGTCTTTTTCCATTCTCATCTAGGTAATATCTCATCTGTTGATTCATTTTTTACAGCGTAAATGACTCACTAAGTTGAATAGGTTTATTTTTTTGCAAACAGTTATTTTGTTGGTCGTCGTGTATTCGCGAAAAAAATTTTTATGGTATTGTTAGTATTGTGCATTGAATTATAAGATCCATAGCATCTGAGAATGATCAGAAATACCGCCTCGTCAACAGTGAAAGCGCAATAGTTTTTTTTGATTGGCTTTATTCTTAGGAAAGAAACATGCGATAAAAAGCATGTTTTTTATTAACTCATTAAAAAAAATGAGTGTACTGACTTTTCAGACATTGTGCGTTTATAATGAGTACATCGTCGGAGAATTTCATGTGCTACGTGTTTCACGTGGAACCATCTGCAGGTCCAATGGCTAAAACCATTGAAGCTGCTTGCAAACTGCGATATCAGAAGGTTCTCGATGCTCATGCTGGTAGACAAGCACCATCGAATGGAAAAGTGGGTTGGCGACTTTTTGCAAGCATTAAAATTTGACACTTGATGGAACATCGTATCATCTATGATACCCACTGCATTATTCTGGTGGCTCATAATTCAAACTGTGACTTAAGCAATATTAAAGTGTGTCTTGGAGTGTTGCTTTATTACTGATACGTAATATATTTTAAGTGTTTTATCATGTGAGACGTTGATGTTCCAAATACCTACTGGTGGTTTCTATTGCAGAGTTGGAGCGATTCATTATGGAATGCAGTAGGTAACGTACGCGATCGTTTTTCGACATTGTCGCGTTGATTTTTTTTGATAATGTCATTTGCTGTACGATCATGCAATAAATTGCTTGCATAACCCTCTATGTTACAAACGGTGATACTGAGAAGAGCAAAAACCCGAGGAGCATCTTTTTTGCATTGCCGCAAACGGTCAAGTCCAAGTGATAAACCAACCGAGTGAGATGTCGCTTCTTAATCTCTAATTGGGAACTTGTCTAACACGCTTATTTATGAATAAAATTTAGTCTGCCAAGAACACTTTTTATTATGGAACTCAAGAATCGGAGCACGCAAGACAGTTAAGTTGAAATGCATATACTAAAATCTCAACTACATATTAGTATTACGAAACGGAATTAGTAGTAGTGCAAAACTAAAATTTCCGGGGAAATCTATAAATATCGATGAAATTCAAAATATATAGTACGCAGATTGAATTTGTGATACGCATGCCAGAAGGGGGAGGGGATGCGTGCTTTTATTTCAGTTTTATTCATTATTTTTTCGTTTCGTGTACTCTTAGGATAGAATTCAGAATTCAAATTAAATGGTTAAGCGAATAGAGTTTAATATATTTTTGCAGCAGACAATCCTGCAATCTAGTTATTGTCTAATACTTTTGAAAGTTTGTTAGATGAACTGTCTATGGCAAGAATTGAAATACTATGTGGTGGTGAGTGTTCATAGCTAGTGTATTGTTACGCATGTTCCACTAAATTTTTCTTTGACCTCTTCCCAAGAATCTCCACCACTTATCGGATGCATAGCAATAGCCTCTTCATGGAAATCATTTTTTTTTTAGAATTCCCAAAAAAAGAAAGAGATTGCATTCGCATTTATTGACAATAATGATGAACTTTGAAAGTTGGTGTCGTTGAATTCCATTCATTCATTTTTCAGCTTCTAACATATTTGATTGAGTTTATAGGCTTATAATAAAGAAGTATGCAAATTAATTAGTATTTGTAAAAATTATTTGTTAAACATCCTTTGCGGTAGGAAATGAAAGTATCTGAAAAATAGGATAATGGCAAGTTTTCAAAATCATCAGCACTCATGTCAGGCCATATCTAGTTAAGAAGTCGGAATTATCAGAATGTTTTTATCACTTCACTTCTACAAGAAAAAAGAAAAGAAAAGGAAAGGAAAGGAAGAGAAGAAAAAAAAAGCCTTTCTTTAAAGAAGGGAAAAGAAAGAAAAGGCAAAAGAAGGAATGAATCATTAATCATTCGTTGGAAGAATTTCTTGCAAAAACTGTAATTGAATGGTACAATTCTCTTTCTGTCGTAATTATTGTGAGAAATTTACGCGTATATATACACTATTCCAACGGTAAGAATGCAATTTTTACACTTTCTAACAAAATTTATTAATTTTATTAAAACAGAATTCAATTTTTGACTTCAGCAATTCAAATTTGTCATTTATTGACTTAATTATTTTGCAAACATAATTAATCTTCTAAAATGATATCGTATCGCATCACTGACAATACGATTTTGATTACACTGACATAAGATTTAAAAAAAAAACAGATTAAGCTGAACTATCAGCAGTATGTCATTCAGGGTGTGCACTTTATAGGAGATGAGTAATTTATGGTAGATTGGAGAACATTTGAAAACATCCTAACAGCTTGAATCTTAGCCCCTTCTGATGATTTGCTGAATAATACAATTGACTGATACTATCAGCATGGAGACAATTCGACCTATGAATGATAACAAGGAGAAGTGAGTCATCGGTCATAATATGAAATATTTTTGCAGCCAAAAAGAAAAAAATAACAATTATCTAACAATTGATTACATATCCTCCTGTCCCGAATATATCGCTTTCTTGATTAGTCTATGAAAAAACTGATGATTGTATCAGTCTTACAGCAAATGTTCTTTGCTAAAAATAGCAAAAAATAGCAAAGAACGTTTGCCATAAGACTGATACAATCATCAATTTCTTCACAGACTAATCAAAAAAGCGGTATATCCCGCACGGGAGGATATGCAAGGTTTTAAAAAAAAATGAATGAGGTAGAGCATGCAGCATTGCAACAGTTAAGCAAATACTCTTTTCAGTTATTACTGGTAACTAGAGAGGTAAAAGTTATACGAACGAAAATATGATTGAATTAATTAACTAGTTCAATTCATCAAGAGTTTAGTATTATGTTATTTATAATGCAGAAGGGAGTTTTCGTGGATGTACAGCGTGTGTCTTACCACATTTTGACCAATGTCTAACAGTTTCTTCACGTTTCACTTTAAAATCTTCATTACTTTTATCGAAATTATCTAATCTTTATTGATTTTAAATTTTGAACAAAATTTACAAAATTTTGGGGTTAAAAAGTGTGACGTTCTATTGTGTTCTCTTCGAAGAGAACACCATCTTTGCCTAAGCATAATGATTCGATCGGATGTAAATAAAATTTCACTGCTGCAAGGTGTCCACGTGCACTTCGCATCACACGGGTTTGGCTTGCACGGTCCGCAGCAACAATAACATTTTCCACCGACACTTTAAAAATTTTTGAAAAATTAAATTATTGCATACAATGATGAATGGAAAAAAGGAAGAAGAGAATGAGTTGCTATAAACATTTTTCATTCCATCGGTGGAAGGAAGGTGTACTTACTTGATGCAGTTCAACGGTTTGAAGTTCCAGATCAGATGGCTGATTGATTCTGGAACAAATGAGCCAAAGAAATCAACTACTGTTGTATGCCTGAAGAAGTCAGATGGCATTTCATGTTTCTGAACTCCTAACATTTCTTTGCATATATTTCAGTAGATTTTGATGATAGAAAGTTGGTAAGAAATGAAAAAGTGAGACAAAAATTAGCTCAACTCCCATACAAGAACGGGAATAAACACAACCGATTACATTAGAAGAGAAATATATAATACCTTGGTGGCCATATTTGACAGTTTCCGTTAGAGTAACCTCGTGATGTCACTGCACATACCTGCTTCTTCGTTGGTAAGTCGCATATCTGATCAGAAAACCGAGAATGTTCCTGCTGTAAAATGCCTGTGATAATATCAACGGGAAATCCGAAAAGGTACTTTTATGCTTTTTCAGATTCTTTCGGAAAACTTTTTCAAAAATTATCTATTGTTAGTTAATACTTTTCTTAGAAGAGAGCCAGCAGAAATGCATACTTTAGACCGTTTCATTTCGACTCTAAATTGTCTGAAAATAATGCAATCTTAAATGTGAGTGGACCAAAAAAATTTGCATACCATACCCGGGAGCGTAATCACAGTGCGAGCTGCAAGAAATCTGTATATTGCACATGCAGCATGCATTGGCGGAATTGTTAAATAACTCCACATAGTCCATCACCTTCCGCACGATCGGCGTACCGATCGAAGTTATCATCTGTCATGTTCATCATCAGTAAGGTTGAAAAATTAAGAATTTGAATGAAAGACTGTTGCAGCAATTGTGGAAATTATATTAATATACTTGCATCATATTTTTCCCATGGACTGTGCATTTCTTACCGAGGTTTTTAACATCTACTTGTATTTTAGAATAGTAATGCAACTATTTAAGAGAACTTGTGATTCAGAAGTCACGTTTGGTGACGTTACTCCTACTTGCGTAACTCTTAGATGCTTGTTGATTCTTAAAGCAATTTTGAAAGTTTTAAACGGCTTCCATATTTCTTCCGAATATAATTATCCATTTTTCCCCTATTTGTAACACAAAATTTTGTTTTACTGCACAAAATTTTTCAAAAATTTCCAGAAGTCTCTGTGACATTTATTCGGAATTTTCTAAAAACTTCTCGGATAGTTTCGACTGTCTGTACTTTTTTACAATTTTACCAATACTTGCACTTTTGCACATTCTACACTATGATCTTTTTTCACTCAAAGTTTATGCTCATAAAATCGTTTTAAAATTATTTTCAAGAGTTGCACAGAAAAAAAAACTAGAAATTGGTAAGTGATATTCTGCGGAAGAGTGGCATGCATCATCCGAAACAGGAAGTACACAGTCTTGTAAAATGCGTAGTACGCCGTCATGGGAGTAAGTAATTACATATATTGTAGAACAATTAGTGTCATGTTGGTAGTGCATATCATGGCGGAAACAGGTAATGCATCTCTTATAGTACGCATCATGCGGAACAAATCAATCCATTCTGTTGTATTATATAACAAAAGAATGCAGGAAATGTACTGTTTTACTGCTGAAAATTATTTTGCGTCAAGTTTATGAGTGGTGGAATAGAGTCAGCTGACCTTACTGACGCAATTGATAAGCGCTGTCATGTGCTTAATTTGTCATCCAAAAGCATAAATGTATTTATTTTATCGAGCTCTTTTCAATGACAATAAAAGAAAAACCCACCGACATGTAACGATTCCGGTAACACTGTTCAGGAAGTCGATTCCAGAAGGAATGGTCATTGTTGCTAAAACATGTCCCATAAGAGCTCCAGTTATAGCAGTTCGACGTTCTCTGACTATCCGACATATTGTAGAATGCTGATGATAGGAATGCCTCTACATTTGCAGCTGATTGGACTGACAGAAGCAATAAAACTCTTCAACCATTTCCATAAAGTTCCCTAAACCTTTGATAAAGGACAATTTTTTGAATCCATTTATGAATAAGTTCAATTCTTTGCTCTGTTTGTCAGGACGAGAGCCACAAAAAGGTATTGCTTGAAAAATGATAATTATATGTGATGTAAATAAAAAGTAATGTGATAATTAATGAGAATTGAAAGATAGATAAATCTGCCAATGATCTATACCCAACGGCGGTAAATGACGATTGCTGTGCTAGTTTGACTGTCTAAATTTGACGATACATCCAGTCTTGTACCATTCATCCTACTCATCTTAAAAAAAACAACGATCAGTGTCAAAGGGAGAGAGAATTTCTATCTATCAAACAACCGCAACAAACTATAAATGGCTACAATACTGTCTTGGCTTTTTTATTCCACTTATTTAATTAAGACCAGTATACTTCGTCCTTTCAACTATAGCCAAAGTTATCATTTCAGTGTCACTAGGATTTGTGATGTTTGTGAAATAATGGACATTGTCGTGAAAGGAAAAGAAATATGAAGGAAAAGTTGTGTAATGGTACGATAGAAGAATGTTGCTTAAATGAAAGTCTTTATGATGGAATGATTTGAAGTGCCTGCGGTTTGGACAAAGAAATGTCCTAAATTCTCTCTCCCTCCAGAAAGAACTGTTTCAGATATTTCATAGTAATGCAAGACGACAGGAAATGAAATGAAAGAGAAAAGTTGGATGATCGAAAGGACGATAGCATAACAACCAAACGATAATAACGATAATAACACAACAATCCGTGCTCAATTGACATATTCATAAAGGCTTTGAAGTCGTTTTTCTTTAGTTATGCCATTATTAAAATAAGGTGTGACGGAATGCGACACAATGATGATTTTTTAACAGTTTTGATTCATTTCGTCAATATTTGCTTATTATCTAATTAACTAATCATGTCCTATTTCCTCATATTTCGCAAGTCAGAGAATTTAGAAAGTACTGGCACCAGAATTTAAAACAGAAAAGCGACATAAGCTGATCAAGATCAATGAAACTGATTGCATCATCTGCAACGAAATTTAGTACATTCAGCCGTACATTTTAAGCAATTTTTCAGATAAAATGTTGGAGAAATATTTGAAAACGAAAAATTATAAGCGTCTCTGCCTTAAACATAATCGAATCAAACATTCCGTCAACGTTTAGATCTTTTTTTGTTATGTCATCGTCCTTTCGATTGTTCGACTTTTCCCTTTCAAAATAAACATCGAAACAAGAAATATACAACAATAACGAGAAAGGTTTTCAGAATAAAGGGAAGGTAATTATACATGCATGTCAAACGAAAAAGAAATTAATTCCGAAAATCAACCTTATTGCACTTTCAGATTAGTATAGCTGTTTTTCTTAGCAGAATCTTCGCCTGAAGATCAAATTGCTCATTGCATTCTTATCTGGATAGACTTATCTTTAATTTGTCTGAAAATCACCTATCTATCTGTGTACAGCAAAGATTATATGCATATTGCAATAGCTTGCAATTAGCAACATTAGCAATATTAATACCAATTCATAAGCATAAAGAAATAACTGCTAACATATTACTTTTGGACTTTTGAATTTTTCAAATTTATCTAAAATTAAATTAAACAATTTCGTTATTCAACTATATACGCATCATTTTTATTTATCATGCTTAGTTTGTTGTCCAAATTTTGATAAAAATTACAATTTTAGCTAATAATGATAGAGACGAAAAAAATGTCAAGCCTTAAGCGAATAAAATAAGTTTTATAAACAGTTTTTCAAATTCTTTGTTCGAAATCTTTCTTTTGTTATTTGTTTTATGCGTTTTTCCAATCCAACAAATTAAAATTAAAGTGGCAATCGTAAAAATTTTGATGAGCAGGAAACCGATAGTTTTGATATGTCGCACGAATTGTGATTTGTACTTGCAATATAGAAAACACTCTCAGTTTATAAATTTCAACATAGTTTTAGCAACAGATCTGAAGCATACTCTATCAAATACATCTGTGAATCTTGTAAATAAATAGAGTGCTACAGGTAATGAATTACTTATTGATAAAAATATAAGTACCAATTGCAGAAACATTCACATATTAATTAATGCATATGATACGTTATTAGTTGACAGTTAATATACGAATATTTCTGCAAGTATATGATAAGCTTTGATAGTGGAAAATGACATGTCAAATATAATGCTATGAATGTAAATGCAGCAGATGAAAATTTATTTTCAACTATGGTGGATCAGAATTCAATTATCATTAAAAAAATAAACAAAACAATTTTGACCATTGTAAGCTTCATAGAATCATTAAATATGACGACGAATAAATGAACAAATGTGGAAAAACTGTATGCAAATTAGCCGTGTGATCATGCTGATTATATAACCAATGATAAATTCTGTGAAAGATAATTGATTAAACTATTTGATGACATGAAATTCAGAATAAGAAAACATTTGTATTCTGAAGGAATAAAAGTTATTATATTATTATATATTTTTAAGCTGGACTAAAAATTAGCTTATGATTAGACTAGCCAGAATCATTTCAACAATTAACTATTGCATGATTTGGCATTCAAGGATATGAAATTCTAAAGAAATGCTAGCGGAAAAATAAATTCGCTCAAAGATTATTTGCAGTGATAAAACTCTGTCTGTATTTATTAGCATTTTATTGGATCCGAAAAATGTAAGAAATCGCATCGACTAATGGAAGTGGCAGATAAAGTAGCGAGAAAAATGTAAATGAATGATGAGGAATTTTATGTTCGTTAACTTAACGGCTCTTTTTTTAGATTTCGTTAAGACTGCAATGTTTTAATCAATGCTAATGCGATCGGCTCAAAATGATGTATATTTTAATATATTTTGGTAACTTTGGAATACAGCCATGTCCACATGCTCGGGTACATCAATTGGAATATTTGACATTGGATAATGTAGCCAATATTTCATTGTCATTTTTAAATAAATGATGTCATTGTCAAAAATTTTCTTTCCCATAAAATTCAGTACAAAAGTTATCGTAATGAAGAAAGATTTCTGGACACTGAACACCCAATTAGCTAAATATGATTATTTTTAATTACCTCAGAGCGATAACTTAAGTTAGCCAAATGCTATTTTAGATGTACTAAACATTTTGTATAACATTGTGCCTTCATAATTTAATTTCATATTATTACAGTTTAATTTATATTTCATACTATTACAGTTTATATACACTTTAAATTTATATTTAATAATAGTCTTTTGGTAAGTACAAAATATATAAAAATTATAAAAGAAAGCATAAACATTTTGCGTCACTCACTTGCATTTTTTAAGTTTCACTTGCTAAATTATAGTTATATTTCGGGTAAATTTGATTCTAAAATTTAAAAACATCTGTTTATATGACACTTGTGATATGAATATCCGAAATATGACGCAAATCTTGACGAACACACACGCACACGTATACACAGAAAGCATGCAAGAAATTCTATTTGTTATATATTTATAAAATTTGTAAATACATGAACCGTTTGTTCCATTGACAGATTGCTGTGATGAAGAGTGGACAGAGCATTTGCCCTGCAAAATCAAATGGCACCATATCATTATACTGAAGTCGCAACTTCCAACCGAAACTTAGAGCATTTCTCAATATCTATTCTACAGACATTTTTATGATTCGAGAACACTGACCTCATTCCCGAGAGTTGTCTTACTTTTAAATGCATATGCTCTCATATCTACTCAAACGAACCCG